TGGGAAGCTCTTTCAAGGCCATTTCATTTTTCTCTAAGAGAACTGAAGAACTCAGAAGATACACTTTCCAAATGATGTAATGGTACTGAACCATTGATTTTAAACTGTTTCTCAGAACCTTTGGGTTCTATGGATGCCTTGTGGGTTTTGATTTTTCAACCAGAGTTGCCCTACTTTTGCTTATTATATATTGGTGCTCCGTAACATTTACTTTTGTCAAGTATGTTCTTCTAATTAAAAAAAAAAGGAGGGGGGAGATATTGAAAAGCATTTATCTAAATAAGAAATACAATGCATTTATAAATATTTAATTTTCCTGGGTGATACAAAGGGTTAATGCATTCAACCAACCACACCCAGATACACCTTTGAAGAAAGGCCTCATGATCTACTTCTGAAAAATTAGACACTGAGAGCTCTGTGTGGCATAGTTCTACTCTGACACACATGGGTTGCTATGAGTTGGAGTCCACTTCATGGCAACTGGTTTTTAAATAGAACATATATTTAAATGAGATAATGTACTTTTATTTCAGGACGATGATCTATTATTGGGATAAATATTAGAACACAAAGCTGAATTAAATTGTAAATATTTTTTCATTTCTTTTTTATACCTCCAGCCTACAGCCCAGCTTATTTTTAATAGCCCAGAATTCTTTCAGTGGCTACTTTTTAGCTTTAGGCATATAATAAACTACAAATTTAAGTTGGTGTAATCTGTTTTACTGTCTTTCATTGCACCTAATTAAAAGCCTTCTGTGGGCTAAGTACCGTGTTTGGCCCCCCAAAAATAAGATGAGTCTGAGAACTTGAGAGTTTCACAATCTGGTAGGAGAGACCATCACATCAGTCTGTGATCAGCATTTATACCGAGTGCTATAGCACAGAGAAGGGCACCTACCCCAAAAGCAGGCTGCGTGGGATGAGGGGGAAAGGTGGAGACCAAGGCAGAAGGAATAACTAAGTCTGACTGAGCCTTACTGTGAGCCAGACAGGTGCAAGGCACCAGGCAGACCAAAGGTGAGCAAACAGACTCAGCCACTGCTCTCATGCAGCTACTGCTGTCATGGAGCCTGCAGTCTAACTGGGGAGACGAGGTTAAACAAGCAAAATCGCAAGTGCATACACAACTAAAATTTCAAATAAATCCTATGAAGAAAAAAAGTGAGAGAATAACAGGAGCAATCTCTCTCAGGGTCACTCCAGGAAACTGTCATTTAAGCTTAAAGTATGAAGAGTCAGGCAGGTAAAGAGGAGAGAATAGTCTCACTTAAAAAAAAAAAAAAAAAAGTCAACCCTGAATCTGATCAAATCAATTTTCAGTAAATGCAGAGAATATTCATACAGGCTAAATGAAGGAACAAGTGAAATTAGCAAAATCCAGATGGGAAATCACAGGAAATCCACACAATTCTTTCTGCAAAAATAAATAAATAAATAAAAATTAAGGAAAAATTAAGAGATAGGGGAGGGGTTGAATTTATAGATTAAAAAGAATTAAGACACCTATCAACTAATCACAAAGTGCAGACCTGATTTAGATCCTGATTCAAACAAATTGTTAAAAAAAGAAAATGAGAAAAGAAAATATTATATAATAACAACAAAAACACAAACAACCCAATCAAAAAATGTGTAAAGGACTTGACCTTTACATTTCACCAAAGAGGATTTACAAATGATCAACGAGCACATGAAAAGATGCTTGATATCATTTGTCATTCCAAAACAAACAAACAAAAAAAACCAAGCCCATTGCCATCAAGTCTATTTCGACTCATAGCAACCCTATAGGACAGAGTAGTACTGCTCCATAGGGTTTCCAATGAGTAGCTGGTGGATTTGAACTGCCGACCTTTTGGTTAGCAGTGGAGCTCTTAACCACTGCGCCACCAGGGCTCCATTAGGGAGATGCAAATCAAAACCACAATGAAATACTATTTCAACTCAACTAGAATGGCTACAATCAAAAAAAAGGAAAATAATAGCTGTTGGCAAGGATTTGAAGATATTGGAACCCTCACCCATTGCTGGTGTTAATGCAAAATGGAACAGCCTCTGTGAAAAAGTTTGGTGGTCCCTCAAAAAGTTAAACATAGTACTACAACATGACCCAGCAATCCCAATCCTAGGTATATACCCAGAAGAAATGAAAGCAGGAATACAAACAGAAACTTGTACCCCAGTGTTCACTACAACACTATTCACAATAGCCAAAAGGGGCAAACAGCCTAAATGCCTGTGAACAGATGAATGAATAAATAAATGTGGTCTATACATAAAATGGAATATTACTCAGTCATAAAGAGAAATGAAGTCCTGATGAACCTAGAAAACCCTATACTGCATGAAATTAGTCAGTCACGAAAGAAAAACACTGTATGACCCACTTATAGAAATAAGGAAATGTTTATTAGTGGTTACCAGGGAGGAGGAAAGGGGAAGTCTTTGCTTAGGGGACAATGAGTTTCTGTCAATGGTGGTAGAATAATATGGAAATGGATAGTGGTGATTGTTGTACAGCATGATGAACATAGGCAACAGCAGTGAACTGTATGTGTAAAAACGGTTGACTTGTCAAATGTTTTGTTATGTATATACTTTACCACACTAAAAGAATAAGAAAAATTATGTAAGACAATTGGACATTTGAATACTGCTGGATATTTGAACAAGGACAGGCAGAATAATCTGATAATATAAAATAATTATTTTAAATTATTTTTTAGGTATGAAAAAGGTATCGTGGTTATGACTGAGGAAAAATAAGAGTGCTTTTCCTAAATTTATGAATAAAATGATACAAGCTCTGGTAAATAACCCAGGGGATGGGGAGTGGGTGGAGGTTTGGATGAATGCGATTGGCTGTGACTTGATCATGACGGCAGATGGATAAGGGATACATGGTAGCTCATGACATTATTGTCTACGTCTATACATGTTTGAACTTTCTTATTTTTAGAAAGCAAGGGGAAAAACAAGAAAATAAGATAATTTTATTGCAATAAAAGCTATGAAGAAAAAAAAATACGGCAATGAGATGATCCCCTACTTGTAGCCCTGTCCTAGCCTAAGGCATTAGGAACAGCTCAGACCACCAGGGCACCTCCCCTAGAAATCACCCAGGAAGAACAGCATCAGGTAGGCCACACACAAGTGGGTAAGTGGAGTTTCCATTCTAGAAGAGAGGGGCCAAACTCCAAAGCCCTCTGGTCAAGCCCTGACCCAACCAGTGCTTCCAGACTTTGGGTACATGAGAATTACTCACACAGCTTGTTGAAACACAAATTTCTGCGTCCCTCCCTCAGTGATCAGATTCAGGAGGTCTGGAGGGGCTCATAATTTACATTTGTACCCAATTTCCTGCTAATCAAAAGCTGAGCCTTTGCAGACCAAAACTTGAAGATATTATACCACTAAATTTAACTGATCCCATGTTCCCAGGCCCTGAGACTGACCGATCAAACGATTTTCCTAGGGCAGAGAAAACTGGCTGAGGGCACTGGATCTGGATTTCAGCGATGCCATTTGTTTATGAATGACGTTTTCCTCCAACATTAAAAAATAAAATAAAAAACGTTGCGTTAGGTTCCAACTCATGGAGACCTCATGTTTTATAGAGTAGAACTGCTCCATAGGGTTTTCCCGGCTGTTATCAAATGGAAGCAGTTCACCAGGCATTCCTCTGCGGCGCCGCTTCGCGGTTGGGTGGGGGTGGGGGTTCAAACCGTCAACCTTTAGATTAGTAGACAAGCGCGAACTGTTTTTGTGCCAACGTGGGACCTTGCCTCCAGCATTATGCTCCAGGGATTCCTAAGTGCTTGCGGTTCCTTCCCCTGTATTCATTACTCCATCATTTGCCTTGGTGTTTCAGCTTTCTCTGCTCCTATTCAGAACAGCCAGACCCTTCCCCTTCACCCAGCTCACCATTGTTATTGTTGTTAGGTGCCACTATTGCAGGCTTCCTACATCTAAGGGAGATTACCGTTCTTCAACCCCCACAATTTAATCTAGTCTCCCAGAGAGGCACAAACTCCTGCACATAAATCAGTTATACAGATTTCTCCCTGAAATCCTCTGCGTCTTTTTTCTGTTCCTTCCATAATTGCATCATTTACTCCGTCACCAATATCGTTCTAGAAATGTTCTAACATACTCCGTTTATTCAACTGAAACTTGTCAGCAAGAGTTTGTCGCTTTGCGTTTTCTCCCAAACCTCACCGTAAAGGAATAAGAACAAACTCCACCCTTTTTTTTTTTTTTTTAGCCCTGGTGGTGCAGTGGTTAAGTGATAAGGCTGCTAACCAAAGCGTCTGCAGTTCAAATCCACCAGCCCCTACTTGGAAACCCTACGGGGCAGTTCTACTCTGCTGTCTAGGGTTGCTATGGGTCAGACTTGACTTGACCGCAACGGATTTTTTAGGAGTGAAACTAATTACTCAATAACTCAATTATCACCTAATGGACAAGACAGGGTAGAACAGTGAGAAAATCATCACAGACAGCAAACGAGGGAGTGGAGAGAGGAGGAATCAGCCCTGGCGGGACAGTGGTTCAAAGTGCTCGGCGCTTATCGAAAGGTCCGGGGTTCAGCCGCTTCGCGGGAGACGGATGTGGCAGTCTTATGGATTTCAGCCTTGGAAATTCTATGGGGCAGTTCTACTATATCCTATAAGGTTGCTGGAAGCCCTGGTAGTTCAGTGGTTAAAAGCTTGGCTGCTAACCAAGAGGTTGGTAGTTCGAATCTACTAGGCGTTTCTTGGAAACTCTATAGGGTCGCTATGAGTTGGAATCCATTCAGCAGCAATGGGTTTATTTTAAGGGTTTTTTTTTTTTTTTTTTTGGAGGGAGGAAACCAGAGCTCATCTCAGTAACCGGAAGTAGGAGACATTTGCTTATAAAAGGAGAAAACGGACCAGAAACATTTCAGGTTAAAAGGAGTAAGTTTAGGCATCCTTAACATTGCTGACATTGCCTTCTCCTGTGTGTTCCTGGAAATGGCGTCCTCAAATTACGAGAGCTGCGAAAAGGTAGGTTCACTTCAGTTAAAATTAGTTTTCCCATGGATTCTCTTTTCAAAATCTTTCTCGGTCTTGCTTATGTTCCTTTCTTGCCAGGAATCTGACTTTACTCTTAATTTCTGGTTGAACGAAACTTCCGTCTTCCTTGATGGAACCTCCTCGCCTTTCTAAATGGATTGTTACTTTTCTTTCACGCAATTTGTGGCACTGTGTACAGTTGGGCAGGGTAAAGAGCAGAAGTAAAGCTCCCTGTCCAAAGGGAAAGATGGATTTTGTAACAAAGACGAGGAACGCAGTAGTGAGGCAAGATAAAAACGGCAAGGCAATGAAGAGCTAAGGTAAAAAGAAGGTAGAAAAGGGTAATGTGGATCAAGGTCAGAAAGGAAAGCAACCAATTGATTTCTTTTCGTCAGGGGTGGGGAGTAACCTATTTCCAACGGCCTTAGTGCCAAATGGACTTCCAAGTAGGCTTGGGTCGTTCTGGTCAGGACGAGAAACTAAATGTGAGAAGGTGTAATGGTATATTTAGAGGGAGTACTGTTAGTGCACTAACCTAGAGAACTGGATTGACCAATATTAGGTGTTTGATTATGGACAAGTCACATAACTGCTCTGAGCCCCGCTTATCTCCAGAGTGATTAATACCCAATCAATGGCAAGGTTTTTTGTTTTTGTTTTTTTAAACTCGCAAGAGTAAATGTATGTAGGGGTGCTTTAAAAACCAAAAAAATAAAAAAAAAACAAACCCTTTGCCCCTTTGCCGTGGAGTCGATTCCAACTCATAGCGACCCTACAGGACAGAGTAGAACCGCCCCACAGGGTTTACAAGGATTGGCTGCTGGGTTCGAACTGCCAACCTTTTGATTAACAGCCAAGCTTTTAACCGCTATGTCAGCAGGGCTCTGTGCTTTGAAAAAGTGCTATACAAATGCAAAGTCACTATATCCAAGTTGAGAGTTTGAGAGCAATGGGGAGCCATTGAAGAGGTTTAAATGGATGGGGGAGGGGCATGGCAACATGAGATCAATTTAGCTGTTCTTCCAAGAGAGTATTACAATGGGGCTGGAATGCTGGAATGGAGTTTTATTATTCACTTTTGAGTCTGAGAGAAAAAGTTAAGTTCACAAACTTAAACTAGCACTGGTCATTTAATTTCTGAGACTCAGTTTCCTCATTTGTAAAATAGAAAAGCTGATAAATTTCTATAAGTATACTGTGAGGATTAAATAGAAATACAGGAAGCACCCAGCACAGTGTCAGTATGCAGTAAAAACAAAACAAAATAAATAAGCAAACCCATTGTTGTCGAGTAGATTCTGGCTCATGGCAATCCATGTGTTACAGAGTGCAACTGCTCCATAGGATTTTTTTGGAAAATCTCCAGACCTTTCTTCTGTGGCACGGCTGGGTACAAACCCCCAACCTTTAGGATAGTAGTGGGTTGCAAACCCGTTTGTGCCACACAGGGACCTTTTGTATACCATAACGACCCAGCAGTTGTTAGTTCCTTTTTACCTTCCTGCTTTTCCATTTTCTCTTTCATTCATTAGATTATTAGATCATTAAAACAGTACTGCATGCCCAATCTGTGCCAGGTGCTATGTTAGTTTCTGTAAATGCAATGGAGAGTAAAACAGATATATTCCCTCCACATTGTTGATGTGGTGAAACCCATGTGAAATGGTTCACTACAGATTAGTAAGTAAGCACAAGTAAACCCATGCTTACCTTGCTTATTGGATAATCCCCTGTGGGAGGAAGGCATGAGGGGACTAGTTCAGTCGATGGACCTAATCAGAAGGATTTCCTTCTATTTCCTCTTTCCTTATCTCACCCACTTGTAATTTGCTTTTGCGCATTTCCTCATTGGTCCCCTTATCTAATAAAGGGTCTGCTGATCAAGATTGGGGGTCACTGAGTGGTATGCTGAGCTGCTAACTGAAAGGTTGGAAGTTTGAGTCTACCTAAAGGTGCCTTGGAAGAAAGGCCTGGTAATCTGCTTCTGAGAAGCCAGCCATTGAAAACGCTGTGGAGCACAGTTCCACTCTGACACACACAGGACCACCATGAGTTAGAGCTGACTTGACAGCAACTGATGGTGGTGGACTTCAGATCAAATTAAAGGAATATCAGTAACCCTTCTCTCAGCCCACCTATTGGCTCTTCAGTTTCCCTCTCAGTAGTTGTGTGGCATCAGGCATCAAATGAGAGTCAGTGACTGACCATTCTCTTTCCAGAATGTCTTTGAGCCGGAATTAGATGAGGACAGTCTGATTATCACATTGGTTCCAGTGAAAGAGGAACCTAACCAAGAGCATCAAATAGAACCAAGTGTTTCTTCAACGGCAGAGGTCAAACTGAAAAAGCCTAGGAAAAACGATAAAGGTACGAGGACAAGGATTGCTCAGTTTCTACCCTTATACCTCTCACTACACAACACCCAGCTTAAATCTCACCTTCTGCAGGCAGCTTTCTTTGAGTACCTGCCATAAGAGATTTGTCAAACTCCCATGCTTCTCATTTGACAAGCACAATGCTGCCTTGCTTCTAAGTCACAAAATAGGCACATGGAAAGCTTTGAATAGAGCATGGGCTTCTCAGGCAGCACGCTGTGAGTTCAGGTTCTCAACCTACAAAGCTCACTCTCCTCTAAAAACGAGGTCAATACATACTCTTCTGAGCTCTTATGGAAGGAAATAATTTTGAGAAACATCTAGCGTTTGCTTGGCAATTAATTACTGATCAAGTATCTAGCAGCCCCAATATGACCTTTTGTGTTTGTTCTCAGCGCTTAGTGTAAGAGCATGGAACAAGTATTTCAGAATGATTTTATTTCCTGGGACAATAATGAAGTAAGTAGTGAAGGGTCAGAGCTAAGCAGAGAGGAGAGATGGGGTGCTATAGAAAAAATATGAGGTAGGCTGTCAGAGTTGGTTGTGGGTAGAGTTGGGTCCCTTCTTTGATTTCTGTAGGAGCAGCTGAAATTTTCTGGTCCCAAGTCCAGACATTGTAGAGATAACAATCTAACATAATGCTCTACCCACTTGGGAGTTGCGGGCTGCAGAAAACAACAGGCTGGTGTGTGAAGTGTAAAGAATTTGGGATTTAGAACCTCTAGACAAAGGTTTGAGTCTCAGGTCTGCCATTTTAATGGTCATGTGATATTAGGCAAGTCCTTTATTTCCTGTTCCCTAATTTATAAAATAAGAAAAAAAAAGTGTTATTTGTGTGTGCAAATTAGTTTGTGGAGAAAGAAGTGAGAAAATCTGTGTAAAATTATGAAGAATCTTACAAATATTAAATTATGACTACATTGGTTTCATTTTTTTCTCAGTTCACCTTCCTCAAATGAATGAACAATTCAGAGCTAGCTCAAAACCTAGTTAGAAAACACCAAACCTTCCTTTGCCGGCCATTTTGCCTCCAGTTAGTGAGGTACATCGGGACACTTTGCGGAACTGGTGCCAGCAAATTAATTTGAGTACCCACGGCCAGGTGAGTCCACTGGTGGGAATCTGCTGCTCGGACATGTATGGGAACCTTGGTTAACTTGTAACTAATATTTCCCTCTTAATTTCCTTAGAAAATAGATATTTATCTGAGGCTGCAGAAACATGCTTACCCTGAGCAGAAACAGGTGAGTGAGGAGTGTGGTCATTCTTCTCCCACCTTCTCATGCTTGTGGCTCCTCTAGGGCAGGCTTACTCAACTGAGGCAATGTTGACATATAGGGCCGGATCTTTGTTCCTTGCGGGTGCTCCCCTGTGTGTTGTAGGATGTTGAGTGATTGCCCTGCCCTCTACCTATTAAATGCCAGAAGCGCATCCCCCCCCACTCAGTTCTGACAGCCAAAAATTTTTCCAAACATTGCCGAATGTTCCCTGAGGAGCAAAATCATCTAATTTATAATCACTGCTCTGAGAGGAGCCCTGGTGGCACAGTGGTTAAAGCTCTCGGTTGCTAACCGAAAGGTTAACAGTTTGAACCCACCAGGAGCTCCATGGGAGAAAGATGTAGCAGTCTGCTTCCATAAAGATTACAGCTTTGGAAACCCTATGGGGCAGTTCTACTCTGTCCTGTAGGGTTGCTATGAGTCAGAATTGACTCAATGGCAATGTTTTGTTTTTCTTTTTTAATTTACACTTACGTTAATTTTATCGTGTTTTAGGTGAAAGTTTATGGCACAAATTAGTTTTTCATTCAAAAATTTTATACACAAATTGCTTTGTGACATTAGTTGTAATCACCGGAATGTGTCAGCACTCCCCCCCTTTCCCTTTCCACCCTGGGTTCTCTGTGTCCATTGGTCCAGGTTTCCTGTCCCTTCTGCCTTCTCATCTTTACTTTTGGACAAGTGTTGCCCACTTGGTCTCGTATGCTTGATTGAACTAAGAAGCATGTTCCTCACATGTGTTAATTGTTTGTTTTATAGGTCTGTCTAATCTTTGGCTGTGAGTTAGAATCAACTCGATGGCAATGAGTTTTTGTTTTTTTTTTAATCATTGGCTGAAAGGTGGACTTGGGAGTGGCTTCAGTTCTGAGTTAGCAGTGTGCCCAGGGGCCATAGTCTCAGGGGTTCCCCTAGACTGTCAGATCAGTAAGTCTGATCTTTTTTTTTGTGACTTTGAATTTCGTTCTACATTTTTCTCCTGCTCTGTCTGGGACCCTCTATTGTGATCCCTGTCAGAGTGTTTGGTGGTGGTGGCTGGCACCATCTATTTCTGCTGGTGGTTTTTTTTTTTTGGTTGCTCTAAAACAAAACAAAAAAACCCAAACCCATTGCCATCCAGTCAGTTCTGACTCAGTAATATTTCTAAGCCTTTCCCACACTGATATGCATGTCTGCGTCAGTATAAAGAGTCATAAGCTGACACAGAAGTTCCTACAGCAGCAGCTCTTCACTGAAGACTCACCTGGACTTTCATTTGCAGGATGTTCCTGACACACCATGGGAGGCCAAGGTGCAGCCATGTTCCAGGAAGCACACTATGGTGACAAAGAGAGCAAGGCTTGAGGAAAGCTGTAAGACTAGGGAGAGAGAAGAAGTAATGAATATAGTTGAAGTGGTCTCTTCAGCTCAGGAGGCCACATTGGCCTCCTGGGCAAGAATTTCTTCCAGAGCACTTCAGCCTAAGGCTGTGAATTCATGTCGCATTCCAACTTCAGCTGAGACTTTTTTGCTGCAAGCCTCTGGTAAGACCAGCCTTAAAGAGTGAGCACCCTTCTAGAAGAAGAAACAAGGTTAACTTTTATTGGTCCCAGATGGAAGGTGGTAAAGGGCAAGGGTTAGTCAGGTTATGTGCATCTGTAGATTGGATTTGTTCATGTAGGGCTTATCTCTTCCTTGATTGATAGATAGCCAAGTTTTTCCTGGGTGAATCTCTAAGCCAGGTGATTGAGTGTTAACCCTTATCATTAAGCAAAATTCCAAGGTGGGAGGAAAGCATAATCTGATTATAGAATCAGCTACAGCCTGAGGTCATCCTGTTTTCTTTCTCCTTTCCTCAAGGCATCCATAACCCATTGCCATCCAATCAATTCAGACTCATAGCCACCCTATAGGACAGAGTAGATCTGCCCCATAGTGTTTCCAAGGCTGTAATCTTTATGAAAGCCGACTGCCACATCTTCTCCCATAGAGTGGCTGGTGGGTTTGAACCACAACCTTTTGGTTAGCAACTGAGTTCTTAACCACTGTGCAACCAGGGCTCCTAGACATCCATAGTATAATGGATAAGATTATAGGTGTTGGAGTTGAACAGCCTTGGTCCAGATCCTTGCTTTATCATTTCCTATGTGTAAAAATGGCTTGGGGCTGGCGTCTGACCTCCTCCAACCCCACAAAGAGGAAGGAGAACCCAGATGAACAGCCCAGGGCTGATTCCTACGCAGTGGAGTTCAGACACGCCTCCTCTCTCGGCCATCTTTACCAACTCTGACACCAACCATCCTTCCCACAGCACTCTTTACTTCTCTGCTGGGTTCAATAATTCATTGCAACGGCCTCACAGAACTCACAGACCATACTCACAATTATGGGGTTTACTAGGGAAGTAACAGTTACAATTCAGGCTCAAGAACACTCAGGATACAGTTCTTCCATCAGGATAGCCTCTTCGCAGCTGTGCTTGCAGGCACGCCTCTTCCTGGCTCTCTGTCTCTGCCCAGAGGCACTCAGCTTTTTCCCTCCGGGGGCTTCAACGGCACTGTCTTCTGCTGCTGAGTCTTTCCTTCCTTGGTGGTGGTGGACTCCTCCTCTCTGCTCTGGAATTGGCTCTCTTTGAAGGCAAAACTCACCAGTCCCCTTGGTAGGCTACAATTACCCTATCACACAATCACCTGGGTGGGAGTTATAAGCCATGGCTAGAAAGGCCACACACAAAAGCAATTAATCACCCCACACTAGGTATGTGACAGAGCCCTAGTAGCACAGTGGTTAAGGGTTTGGCTGCTAACCAAAACGTAAGCAGTTGAAATCCACCAGCTGCTCCTTGGAAACCCTATAGGCAGTTCTACTCTGTCTTATAGGGTCTCTATGAGTCGGAATTAACTCAACAGCAACAGTTTTTTTTTTAGGTATGTGACATTGGTAAATTACTTAGTTCCTGAGCCTTGGTATCCTGGTGTATAAAATGAAGATCTCAACTATCCTATTTCATAGAGGGGTTGTGAGGCTTATATGAGACCCAGAACTAGAAGACAATAATAATTAAAAGACCTGGGGTCCCTGTGCTATATAGGAAGTCTTGAGAATAATTTAGCCCTACCTTTCTCCATCAGCTCCTGCTCAAACTTCTTGCTGCTTTTGTTTTCATCTCAGCAGACCCTGTCAGGCCAGCACAAAGTCACTTTCCTTATGTATGGCTCGAATCCGTATCCTCTCTCCTCCTGCCCCCAGACGTCCTCTCGATCCCCTTTCACTCACGCCTGACTTGTACGGTAGAGCATGTTGTTCACTATACACGGTACCCTGCCACAGTAAGACCAGGGACTGAAATCGACCTACCCATTTTCTCTTTCTCAAGGCGCACTCTGTTATGTTAGGAGGAACATGTCACTTTTAGTAATTTGTGCAAAGGCACTGTCCAGCCACAAAGCTGTGTGCCTGGGGGACTGCATCTTCAAAGATGACACCTTTCTGTTTTTCATTAAAAGCTCTACTTACTCATCCTTTTATGTTCCTCTTCATTCAGCAATTATTAAGTACCCACCACAGTACATGAGCCCTGGTGGTGCAGTGGTTAAGAGCTTGGCTGCTAACCCAAAGGTCAGCAGTTCGAATCTACCAGCCACTCCTTGAAAGCCCTGTGGGGCAGTTCTCCTCTGACCTGTAGGGTCACTTTGAGTTGCAGCTGACTCGGCGGCAACGGGTTTGTTTGTTTGTTTTTAACTTCGGTTCGGAATGTTCCTAGTTGCTGGGTATATTGTGCATATTGTACGGAACACACATAATCTCTACCCTTGCTTACAGTCTATCTGGGGGGATAGAACACTACATACATTGCTTACTTACAGATGTTTAACCCCCAGTGACTGCTCTCTACTCTTAATTCTAGACACTTGATATCTGTACCAGTTACCTTGTCTTCTTGCAAACATCCCGATTGCCTACAAGCAGATTGTTTCTCACACTTTTTTTAAATCTACTTCTTATTGTGAGATACATCAGATATGGAATAAAGTGCATGAGAAATGTGTATACTTTTAAAAAGGATGATTCTAAACAAACTCTAGTGACAAAGAAACAGACCGTTTCCTGAATTCCCTACTGTGCTGCTTCCCAGTCACAGCTCCCCCGCACCTGCCGAGGTATCCACTATCCAGATTTTCATGATAATCATTGTTTTTTTTTTAAAGTGTAGCCTGACAGAGACTGGAGAAACCCCAAGAGTATGGCCCCCGGCCACCCTTTTAGCTCAGTAATGAAGTCACTCCTGAGGTTCACCCTTCAGCCAA